AACAACAATACTGCCTTATTGGATCTTGGCACCGTGCGGCAGCATCTTTATTGCCTCATGCTTCATTACTGATATCCTGAACTTTTATTTCTGGCTTTGACTTATGCGTTAAGGTTACACCATGACTATGGCTCTTCATCGAGCTGTCAAAGTGACTTCTGTGTCAACTGCTTTCTGAAAAGTGCTGGAAAAATGCTCTGCCATTTCTAAATCACACTCCTTTTGAAATTTATTTTCCCACGAGTGCATGAAATATTAATCTGGGTTTCATGCAAAAATGGAAAAATAACTTTTTAAAAGGCACTGCAAATTAGAAACGGCAGACAGTTTTTATTATTTTAAACTTTATCTAGGATTTATAAGAAAAAACAATGATTGGCAAAGATATAATAAATTATTTGGCATCGTATTTAAGAATCTATATGTGCTTAGCATATAATACCAAGTACAATTATTTTTTTATTATTTTAATACTTATTGTGGACTTCCTTTGTGCCATGATGGTTAGTTTACATGTATGATTTCATTTTTGTCCCAATGAGTCGGAACCAACTCGATGGCACTTAAACAGTAGTCCGGTGTGGCGCTCACTGTAGGATAAGCGCGGTATTGCAGTACCTTGCAGTTCAAACTCACCAGACAATTCTCAGAAACCCTATAAAAGGTCTCTGTAAGTTGGAACCCCGATCGGACAGCCATCCCTACAGCACTTAACAACAACAGTCCTATGTGGGGTACATGGTAATTCATACTGCAGGTTAGGGAACGGAGGCACAACAATATTAAGTAAGTTGTTCAAGATCACACAGCCAGCAAGTGCTGGTGTGCTTTGGAGTTGGTCCCGATTCATAATGACCCTACATAGGGTTTGTAAGGCTGTAAATCTTTACTAGAGCAGAAAGCCTCATCTTTCTTCTGCAGCTGTTCTGCGGTAGTTTCGAACTGCTGACCTTGGAGGTCAGCAGCCCGGTTTGTAACCACTGTGCTACCAGAGCTCCTTCCTGCCTTTCTGTTTTCCTATATTTTATCATCTTGAAAGGAAAGAAATATTCAAAGCCAAGAGCGGTTGCATACTACACCATGCAGTCCTGCTACCTTCAGATACTGTTAAATGCTTTCAAGCAGGTTCCGAGTCAACAGCCACCCTATGTAGGGTTTCCGAGGCGCGACTGGTGAGTTTGTACCACTGATTTTGCAGTTCAACCTTGCGTCATATGCATTATCCTGCAGAGCCACACCAGGACTCCTCAGATGCAGTGATTGGTGGTTATGTGCCGTGGAGTCCCTTCCGACCCATAGCGACCATGTACAGGGTTTCCGAGGCTGTAAATCTTTTCGGGAGCAGAAGGGTGTTGAAATTGAGACAGAAGTGTGTATATTTAACAGAGTAGATAGAAGACAGCTGAGATTCTTTTGGGTCACTCTTAAATTTAACTTATTTATTTTCCTTTTATCAGAACTTTAGAGTGTTATGTTTTATAATGGTTTGATAACAAAATAATATTTAAGACACATCATAAATGAAACAACAACCAACTTCACCTAAATCAGTAGGCTTAGTACAATTTTTCAAGAAGTAAGCAAGCATTGGTCTTTGGTTTGAACCTACTAGCCATTCCACAGAAGAAAAGACCTATTGATTTGTTTCCATTAAGATTTCAGTCTAGGAAATCCTGTGGAGCAATTCTCGATAATCCCGGAAGGGTCATTAAGTGTCAGAATGGACAAGATGGCACACAACAACAGAACAGCTATTCATTTTTCCTTATTGTCTTTTACATGGGTATCTGGGCTCTTACAGGTTTTTACTCATTTCTAGGTGTAGTTTTCCTTCCCCATCTTCATGCAAATAGCAGCTTCAATACAAGTAATCCTTATCTCCCTTGCCTACTTTACATCTCACCCTACCACTGAATGCTATATAAATGTACAGTAATTTACTAATTTGCCATATTGTTTGTTTTGTGTTTTTCACATTACAATACAAGTTCCCTAAAATAATGTTGAATGAATGAAAAATGCATATTTTGGAGCATGTAGTTATACTATTTGAGCTGTTGTATATCATCCTATGTTCACTTAATAGTCTGTCAAGCATTTCTACATATTTTTCCTAATTAAATTCTCTTATGGGAGTGTGGTGGCTCTGTAAGATGAATACTGGACTGCTAACCGCAAAGTCAGGGGTTGGAGCCCACCAACTGCTTTGTGGGAGAAAGATGAGGCTGATCCCATAAAGATTTACAGCCTCAGAAACCCTCTGCAGGGTTGCTATGTTTTGGAGCCTACTTGATTGCACTTGTAATAACAACAACGTAGTTATAATGTTCTGTAGAGTCAATGTCTAAATAACTAATGAAGTCATTTCCCTAATGGTATTTTGCAAGAAATGGACCTGAAGTATGGGATGGGCAATGGCCATTGCACAGGGTTACATTTGGATTTTATTCTGTAAACAGTAGAGGGAAGTGTCGGTTAAGGGCTGTTTCACTTTTGTTAGCTGGATAACCTCTGACCCTTAGTTTTCTCATCTGTAAATCTGGAACAACTACTTTGCTAGACTAGGAGACCTTGTGGGGTAAGCACTGGGCTGTTAACAGGAAGGTCAGCTGCTCCATGGGAAAACACTGAGACTTTATATTCTTGTAAACTTTACAGCCTCGGAAACCCAATACAGTGTCGCTCTGAGTTGCATCAACTTATGTCATACAACACTTTGTCAGACTGTTCCAAGGAATAAATGAGATAATGGTTATGAAGGGCTCAGCAGGGTGGGTGTCACATATTGACTATTTAAAAATATTATTTACTATTCCTAGTGGTTAATTAGGAGTTCTGGTGGGCCACTGTAGGATCAGCACTGGACTGCTAACCAAAGGTTGGTAGTTCAAACCCATCAGCCACTCCTTGGAAACCCTATACAGGGTCGCTATGAGTTAGAACTGACTCAAAGGCACTTAACAACAGCAAGAAGTGGATGATTAAGGAGCTCTGGTGGTTCTGCTGGAACCCTGGTGGCACTGTAGCATTAAGCACTGGATAGCTAACCACAAGGTTGTCAGTACAAACCCACCAGCCACGCCTTGAGGGAAAGATGAGGCTTTGTGCTCTGAGAAGATTTACTGCTTATACAGGATCCTTATGAGTGAAAGATCAACTTTATGGCAGTGGATTTGAGTTGGTTTGGTGGCACTGTGGACTAAGCATTGGACTGAGAACTGCAAGGTTGGTGGCTCAAACACACCAGCTGCTCCTAGGAGAAAAGTCTGTCTGCTTCCGTAAATATTTACAGTTTCAGAAACTGTAAAGGAGCAATTCTACTTAGTCCTATGGAGTCTCTATGAATTGGAATTGACTCTGTGGCAATGGGTAGTTAATTGATAAATGGACTTCTAGCAGAAAGAGAAACTTCAAGATATTTTCACAGTATACATATATTCAATTTAGTAAAACATTAAACAAGTTTATACAGTGAAATATACATTTGCCAAAATATTAAGTAGTTGTTGTTGTTGTTAAGTGCCGTCGAGTCGGTTCCGACCCATAGCGACCCTGTACAGGGTTTCCAAGGCTGTAAATCTTTACGGGAACAGAACGCCTCATCTTTCTCCTGCGGAGCCGCTGGTAGTTTAGAACTGTTGGCCTTAAGGTTCGCAGCCTGATTCGTAACCACTACGCTACCAGAGCTACCATAAGTAGTAGTCATATATTTTATTGCTAGAAAGTATTTCATTGTATGGATCTATAACAGTTTGCTTATGTGTTCATTCATCTATTGATGGGCATCTGGATTGTTTCTAGTTTTTTTGTATTACAAATTAAATCCACGGATATTCATGTATAAGTCTTTGTATGGACATATACTTTCATTTTTCTTGGCCAAATATCTGGGAGTAAAATAAGTAGGTCATAAGATATTTGCGAGAGTCTTAGTGTGGCGCTGTGGGTTATTACGCCAGATTGCAAAGCCATTTGAATTGCACGGTCAGCAGTTCAAGCTCACCAGCTGCTCTTCAGAAACCCTATACAGGGTCACTATGGGTCAGAACCAACTCAATGGCACTTCACAACAACAACAACAAGATACTTACAAGGCCTGGTGTGGCACTGTGGATTAATGCGCTGGACTGCAAAGTTGGTGTGAATGGTAAGGTTGGTGGTTCAAGGTCACCAGCTGCTCCTCAGAAACCCTATACAGGGTTGCTATGGGTTGGAACCAACTTGAAAGCACTTAACAACAACAACAACAA